ACAGACAGACAGACACACACAGACAGACAGACACACACAGACAGACAGACACACACAGACAGACAGACAGACACACACAGACAGACAGACAGACAGACACACACACAGACAGAGACACACACAGACAGACAGACAGAGACACACACACACACACATCTCTGCCATCAGTCACATCTTACTCGGCATGATGTGCAGAATTACATCAACATTATTCCGCAAAATGTGGGTAGGGAAAGTAATAAGCCCAGCCCATATTACTTGCTACAGAACATTCACTATTAAACGTCCAGGTAAGGAAGTCAATTCCTGCTATAAGCTGTCTGGCACTGCAGAAGAGGTTTATAAACTGGGTTTAAACATTCAACAGCGCAGAGATCCAGCAACTTACCCCACACGAGAAAATATCCTGGATGTAGATGATGTAGCACTGTGCAGCGTCGTCAGATTCATTCAGCTGCTCGTGAAGCCTAGAAACAGACACAGGTGCTTTCACCCAAACAGCAGCACTTTCACCAGCACACTCCTGAAGAAAACCACACTCACTTAGCCAGCTTCAGAAGAGCCATTCTCTCCACATCGCCGACCGAATACGCCCTCCAGTAACACTGCACCCATCAAAGCAGACCGTCATCAGCATTACAACACTCTCTCTGGAGGAGAATCAGGTTTCAGCGATGAACAGTCGCCGTTTTACCTTCTTGGCCTCCACTTGCTGAGACAGTTTCTCGTAACATTCCCCGAGAGCGACGAGCATGCGCGAGTCGTTCGGCCTGAAACGAGCACACAAACACTCAGCGTAAGGCGCACACACACACTGAATGATGCTGGAGACGTCTTCACCTCAGCTGATGAGCTTTCCTGTAGTAGTAGAGCGAGTAGAAGGGCATCTTGAGGATCTCGTAGGTCTGTCCGAGTCCGTACCAGGCCCGGTAGTCTCTTTTGTTCACTTCAATTGCATGCCTAAGACACAAGGACAAAAAATGTATTACATTTTTATTTATTTATTTAAATGTAATTATTAACATACTTTTTATTTAGAATTTTTTTATGAATAATTTTACATGAATAAATTATACATTTATAGTGAATAGGGTGGATGTCTCAAATAATAATTAAAGGAGATTTAAATTTAACTATTATAAAACAGAGTTCCGGTGCTTGATTCTGATTGGCTGAGCTGCGTTCGAAGCTGTTGTAAATGACGCTACAAAGTAATACACACCTTTGTTTACTTCTGTGTGTTGCTCGGCAGCTACTTTGTAGCAACCACAACTGTTTCTGAGGAGCTACATTGTTTTGAAGAATGCTTCGCGTCGTACCGAACAACGCCCCTTAGCTGTTATAAATTCACTGTAAACCACGGCTTCACGGGGCGCATTGCTTTCATTTAAAATTTACATTTTTGATTTAATTTTAGGAATAAAGACATACACCTCAGCACGAGAAGGCTGCTCTGTATTTCCAGTCACTCATGACTAATGTTACTTGTGCAATTCTATATAAAAAAAGATTTTTCTTTTTTTTATTAGTTTTAATTTTATATATATATATATATATATATATATACACACGCACACACACTACCGTTCAAAGCTTTGGGGTGGGTACATTTTTTTATGTTATTGAACATTTGTAACATTTCTTAAGCATTTATGTCAAAACGGTAATATTATCAGTATATATTTCCTAAATCAATAGACTTTTATTTCTCATTTCAGATGCTTATAAATGTATTTCTGTGATGCGCAGCTGTATTTTCAGCATCATTCCTCCAGTCTTCAGTGTCGCATGATCTTCAGAAATCAGTATAATATGCTGCTCTGCTGCTCGAGAAACATTTCTGATTATTATCAATGTTGAAAACAGTCGTGCTGCACAATATTTTTGAGGAAACGATAATGCAATGTGAATATTTGCGTCGCTTTTGGTGTGCACGCAGCGGTACAGAGTTGATTGAAATGTGATAAAAAGGCTGTGCAAAGGTTTAGGCACTCTTTCAGTCGTGTTGATTTGAATACCTGCAGTCACTTAATAATGCTGATTGTGACACAAAATTGATTTGATTGGCTCAGTGAACCTTCACTCTGCAAACACAGCAGCAAGCCATCATGAACAAGGTTTCTGGTGGCTTTCAGGTGCGCTGCTCCAGATGTACCTGTAGGCCTGGATGGCGGCGGAGGTGTTCTTCATCTCCATGTACTCGTGACCCATGAGGGTCCAGGCCCCCAGACAGCGTGGATTCAGCTTCAGAGCCCGCTGGAAATACAGAGCGGCCTTCTCGTGCTGAGACCGCAGACTGTAGTAGTTACCTGTGAGCGGACAACAAAACACTATTCATAATCGACTTCATGGTTCATGCTGATTGACTCCAAAGATAAATGATTACAGACCTCAACAAACTGGTTTTTCTAGATTTCGTACTACATCCCGGTTCAAGAAATCAATCATCTGCTTAACTGGAAGGCAGACTGCTTTGAGCACACCCACTTCATGGTAAAATTATTCAATAACATCCAACAGCCACCTTTCCATTCCTGCTTAACCCTCTGGGCCTCTTCAGTCAGAGCTGCGGTTTTTAATTTATAAATGTTTTGCTTCACTGGAACGGGACGACACTTGGTGATGTTTGTCGCATTAGCTAAGTGAACACACACAAAAAAACTTGGACACGATGCTAAAGGGTCGAAAAATTAAAAAGTAACACTTGGTGCCTCTGGAGTCAAAAATGGGTGTACAAAAAAATTGCTCATAAAAACTATAAATATTGCATAGTATCATAACATCCCCTCAAAATTCGAAATGATGAGCAAAAAATATTATTGAACAGAAATATATTACATTGATTTTCCTGAGAGAGAAAAAAAGTTACATTTCAAGGCTTCAGTCACTTTTGACCGCGAAGGTACCAAGTGTGAGCCAAAAATGTCCCGCGTGTGCAGAGATTACCCACAGTCCCGAGTCAGACGGACTCACCGATGACGCAGCACGTCTCCACGCGGTACTTATCGATCTCCACCAGATTGTGTGCCAGGTAACTGAGCTCCGGCTTCATGCTCTGCCAACAGACAAACACAGGATCTGAACAGAATATTACCTGGACTTCACTTTAATTTAATATCAGCAGATAATCTGTGTAATCTGACCCAGAAACCCATACGGTTCTGCAAGATCTCAGTCCAATCCTCCTTAAACCCAAAGATATTCCTTTGGCTGAGACCTATTCTTTGCTTGATTAATCAAACATTTACATTACTCTTCACATAACCAAAGCTAAAAATGGTTGAATTTCCTTTGTGTTAGTCTTTTCAGTCTGTCTTTGAGTGAAGGACAGATGCACAAGCTTCTGTATTGGCCATGTGTGTCCCTGGTTTCAACATCATAATAATAAATGGTTTTCTCGAGCAGCAGATCAGCATATTATACTGATTTCTGAAGATCATGTGACACTGAAGACTGGAGGAATGATGCTGAAAATACAGCTGCGCATCACAGAAATACATTACAGTTTAACAGAGATTCACATAGAAAACAGCTATTTTAAATAGTAACAATATTTCACAATATTACAGCTTTTGCTGTATTTCAAATTCTGATCAAATAAATGCAGGCTTGAGTAGCAGAAGAGAAAACATCTTACGGTTCAAAAGCGTTTGACTGCTAGTGTATTTTCTGCAGATATCCCTCACCTCGTATGTTATGGTAAGCCACGGCGATCTGGGAGATGATGTATGTGCTTTTGGCGAAGCCTGCTTCCATGAGGCTCTGGTATTTCTGCAGCGCCTCTTTGATCATCTGCAGCTCGGTGAACATGTGTGCCATGAAGAAATCCCTCACCCAGCACTCCGGCAGAGACAGGGACTTCAGCTGAGGAGCACACAACACACACACCAGCTTCTGCTTCAGCGTACATGCCACGAACCACACAGCACACGGTCGCTTTGGAAAAAGAAGTACCATTTCGATGTTGGTGATGAGATTGCAGAGCTCCAGCCAGGATCCCCAGTGCAGAGGCAGAGCATGTGTCGCCGCCACAAAGATCTCCACCGCCTCCTTCAGCAAATCCAGCTTCCGCAGAACCACCCCATAACTGGTGTCCAATCAGGATGATATTAACAAACAGCACCAGAACATCACCGTTTTCTACAACCAGTGGTAATCTCTGCTAATCAATCAGGACAGACCTGCACTCCGTTCCACTATCTGAGAACTAATCTGATACTTACAGATAGAGCCCAAACCCGTCCAGCTCTCCGGCGCTGTGTTTCTTGCTCAGCTCCACCCTGAGCTCTCGCAGGGCTTCGTTTCGGACCTGCCCCTTCTCCAGCGGACCTGCAACCAAACACATGCTGATGACGAGACCATCTCCGCCGGGGACACGGTTTCAGACGCTCAATCTTACCCAGGCTGTCCACGGTCTCGTCGTCTTTCTTCTTTTCGCCTGACTGAGAGAATAAAGAAGTACATTGCTTTGTTCACATTTCACCTCCGAAGAGACGGGGATCTAAAACATTCACATAAAAACAAGAGCGAAGCATCTCACTAGGTAGCGGGAATACATGTAGAGAAAATATGCTTTCTGACTGCGGCAGCCGCGGAGAAAATACGCAGCTCGATCATATTCCTTCAGCTCAAAGTATGATTTGGCCAGACACAGGGCATCCAAATCTCGGGCGTCCTCCTGGAAGAAAGAAGGCGGTCAGTGGTGCTACATGCATTTAACTAGTTCTTCACTGAGCGTGAGGGGCTTCAGGCCTCCAGACTGACCTCGGTGAGCTCCAGCGCTGCAGGGATCTCATTCAGAGGGAGTGGATCCAAAGAAAAAGCCAGTTCTGATGCCCTGGAACACAAACAACAGCTTCATTTGCATGCATACAGACAT